CCCCAAAACCCCAAAACCCCAAAACCCCGTAATGTCAGAATTTATAAATTAGCTTAAAATTAGTAATGAAGGGAATTATATTAATATTAAAAGCTAAAACATATTTACCCGATGCCAAAAGAAATAGCTGACAGATATTTGCTGAAAATGCCACCTGTTGGAGAGGGTAGATTCGGTAGAGTTTATAGAGCAAAGGATTATAGAACTTCAAAAAAAGTTGCAATCAAAGTTGTAAGTAAATTGGACCCAATATACCTTAAAATAATTATTAAGAAAGATCATAAAGTACATAACTTGATCTAATTATTACCTTAATAAAAATGAGTTCTTGAGTAATATATTTTTGATGTTGGAAATTAATCATTAATTTAGCTACCTGGATAATACAAGTACCAATACAATCAAGAGGTTCAGATACTCTAGGTTATAAATAAAAATAAGCTGTTTGGGTTTTTAAAACTGCTTGACTGTGGCTTTGAAAACAATTAATATTATATCGTGACTGAACTGCTTGGAGAGAATTTGCAATAGCAAATGTCTAAATGCACAGGCAAGAAGTTCAGATTTGAGACAGCAATGAGAGTAGCTATTTAGATGTTCAACAGAATTAGGGTTTTGCACAAAATAGGCTATGTCCACAGAGATATTAAGCTTAATAATTATGTATGCTCCATTTAAGATGAAGATCAACTCAAAGCAGGGGGTAACAAAAAAAAGAACAAGATTGCTAACAAATCCTAGATCTCAAACAGTGTAGATGATGATGGAGATGATGGAATGGTGTTCTTAATTGATTACGGTATTACTAAGAAGGTAGAGAATGCTGAACTACAAAAACAGATAGATCAGATTAAATACGGGCAAACTCCTTTAGTGCCCAGATAAAATACATTTTAAGATGAGAGAGATGAAATCCTAGATAGAAGTAATCATAACTTATATAATATCAATAGGTCCCTCCAGCAAGAAGAAAGAGAAATAATTTGTGGGCACCTATATCTTTGCTTCAATAAGTTAACTAAAAAAAGAACGTAAGTGTCCTATCGATAAAATCTCTCAAGGATTTTACTCTATATGCTTTATTAATAGATCCATTAAATGACTCTATATTTAGCGATGACATTTAAGGATGATCTGGAATCATTAGGATATATTATAGTAAGTATGATAACTGGTACTTTACCCTGGAGAGATATCTCTGCTGTGAAATTAGATGAAAACTTAGACCAATTAATAAAGGCCAGAAATCCCAAGACTCTATGTTAAAATCTCCCAAGTAATGAAATCTAAGTATTTATAATAATCTAGGGGAAATATAACAGTTTGTTTAAGATGTATAAAAACTAAAATCTGATGAAAATATCAAGTACAAGTATTTTAAGGGTCTTTTGATGCATGTCTATAAAAAATTAACAATACCAGAGAACTATAAATATGACTGGATAATTGAAGAAGAAAAGCTCAAGGATATATACTTTAAGAGTCTTACTTAAAACCCTGGCACTAATTAAAATCCTCAAAAATTAGAAAATATGGGAACACTTTAACATTAGATCCATTAGTAGTAGGACTAAAAGGAACTATCCAATTAAGAAAATCCACCAATTAGTAGGAATATCAACATTGATATTAAAGTTAGTGATCTTTCATATAATTTCAAGAGGGAAAGAAAGTCAGGCCCAGGAGGTCTTAGCTAGTTTAGAAATAAAAGAAACATTAGTCCTCTAATAATAGAAACAAGGAAAAAGTAAATTGATGGGAGTGGATAATTATCTGCAAGTTGTTATGTATGATTTAATCAGTTTATATAGGATATAGGATTAAGTTCAATCAAGCGTCCCCAAGTCAGGAACAAAGAAATAGTACATAAAGAGGTTTAAAAGTATGAATTCATTGTGCTAATAATATTTTATATAGAAAAGGTAAAACACAGGAAGGGAATCGCCAATGACATGTAAAATAATCATATTGAAGTTGAAGATGAAAATGGTGAATTATTGAATGAAGACCAAGATTAGGATTAAGACGAAGACTTAAATTCTAGGAGGCATGAGAGTGATTCAGAAGAGGAAAAGGGCTAAGATGGAAAGTTTTATCTGAGAATATAGAAAATCAGCAGTGATCAAGATGAAGATAATGTAAGTCTCTAAAACATAGATGAAAGCTCGGACAGCTAATATATCGACCCTTCTCCAATTCCCTAGAAATAAAATTAACACTATCGTGAGAACCAGAAGCAGTTCTCGTTTTTGAAAGATCCATAATCACAGAGCAGTAAGATGCTCAAGTTGGTTACAGGTGAACTAGACGACCTGGATATTGATGAGGGTGAACGCCAATTCGACTGCGGTATTTATGTCTTTTAAAGTCCCAAGTGTAAAATCAAAGACTCTAAGTATTAGAAATTTTTGGACTTAAGAAAGGAGGGTAAGCTTCCTGATTTTGAAGTCAGAATTGGAGGTAGAGTTAAAAAAAAGGAAACTATTTAAGATAAAAAGAAAAGCATGCGCATAGGACCTTCGTCAGACTGAAAAGTCTGCTAATTGTAGTAGAAATAGTTTTTGGAAGAGAAGATTCAATTTATCTAATCATCAAATCACTACTAAATGAGCAAATATTATGAGCTCTAAATATTTTCCAGTTTTTTTAGAACTTTGAATTAATATCTTAATTTACAATTAATTAATAAACAAATATGTATTCATTAACAGGCAGACTAAACACAATTGCCTTCAACACTTTAATAATGCTGGCTGTTCTTTCAGCTCTCAACTACTTTAGTGTTTACTTTGATGACAAGAGGCCAATCATTTTGAAGGAATTTACAGTCAATAATTTCGATGTGTTTGTAAAGGATAACTTTATCAATGAAGATGCATTGAGTTTTTCATTTGACTTTAAAGCAGATCTGAGACCTCTATTCAACTGGAACACAAATTTAATATTCACATACATTACATGCGAGTATAACACAACTAAGAGCACCTTTAATCATATCACTATTTGGGATTAAAGAACTCTCAGATTTGAGACTTAAGACCACGTTTTAAACTTGAAAAATGAATACCCTGAGTATTATCTCACAGATATCAATAAAGATTTAAGAGATCAAGAGATTAAATGCTATCTTAACTGGGAATAAATGCCTATTGTAGGAGCCAACTACGCAAAGAAGGTAGAGATCGGTTCATTTAGAGCTCCAAAGAATTATGTCTCCAAGTCGAGAAGAAAGTATCACCCAGGTCCAGAAAACAGAGAGTTCAATTATTGAGTAAAAGGGTATTATGAGTAAATAGAATTAATGACACGTTTTGTTTGCAGAGTAATACAATCTAATTCAATCGACGACACTCTATTTTGAATGATGGGGTTTTGGGGTTTTGGGGTTTTGGGG